TTGACCGCAGAAATATCAAAAATACTGAAAAGTATTTTTTACGTAACAAACAAGAGGGCCTGTTCTATAGATCTTTTTCTGCCTTGGCGCCGCGAGGTATTCCAGAAGTAGAGAACAGAAGGGCCTGTTCTATAGATCTTTCCCTGCCTTGGCGCCGCGAGGTCTTCCAGAAGTAGAGAACAGAAGGGCAGAAGTAGAGAAGTAGAGAACAGAAGGGCCTGTTCTATAGATCTTTCCCTGCCTTGGCGCCGCGAGGTATTCCAGAAGTAGAGAACAGAAGGGCCTGTTCTATAGATCTTTCCCTGCCTTGGCGCCGCGAGGTATTCCAGAAGTAGAGAACAGAAGTACAGTGTGCTCCTTTAGTTTTTCTGTTTGGTCGGAACATACTAAAAAATTCTGGCCTCCCCAGATGGTCACTTTTTTGTCAGTTTTCTGATTTTTTGTTTTTGTTGTTGTTGTTGCTGCTTGTCGTTGGAGGTGAACAGACGATGAGTTTCCGAGTTAGGGCACGCTCGGTTGCTGTGAGATGTGGAGTCTTCAGATATCAGTAACTCATTCAATCCATGTTCTTATTGGTTGATCCCCTATCTATCGGTGTTTCTACTTTGTTGTATGTTCTAGTCGCTGGCATTATTGGATTCATTCTCAATGCATGGCCAAACCACTTCAGTCTTTGTTTTTTTTTTTTTTTTCCATGAATTTATTTGTATCTGTTGCAATGTTTTCGTTTCTCACGTGATCTCTTCTAGTTTTACTCACGGTCTTTCTCAAACGTCTCATTTTACAGTTGGTCAATTTTCTATCATGTCCTTCAGTCAAAGTTCAAGCCTGACACTGACAGCCCACAATTGGTTCAAGCCTGACACTGATAGCAGACGATTGGTTCAAGCCTGACACTGATAGCACACGATTGGTTCAAGCCTGACACTGATAGCACACGATTGGTTCAAGCCTGACACTGATAGCACACGATTGGTTCAAGCCTGACACTGATAGCACACGATTGGTTCAAGCCTGACACTGATAGCACACGATTGGTTCAAGCCTGACACTGATAGCACACGATTGGTTCAAGCCTGAAACTGATAGCACACGATTGGTTCAAACCTGACACTGACAGCCCACAATTGGTTCAAGCCTGACACGGAAAGCACACGATTGGTTCAAGCCTGACACTGATAGCACACGATTGGTTCAAGCCTGACACTGATAACACACGATTGGTTCAAGCCTGACACTGACAGCCCACAATTGGTTCAAGCCTGACACGGAAAGCACACGATTGGTTCAAGCCTGAAACTGATAGCACACGATTGGTTCAAGCCTGCCACTGATAGCACACGATTAGTTCAAGCCTAACACTAATAGCACGCGATTGGTTCAAGCCTGACACTGATAGCACACGATTGGTTCAAGCATGACACTGATAGCACATGATGGGTTCAAGTCTGACACTGATAGCACAGAATTGGTTTAAGCCTGAAACTGATAGCACAGGATTGGTTTAAGCCTGAAACTGATAGCACACGATTGGTTTAAGCCTGAGACTGATAGCACACGACACTGATAGCACACGACTGGTTCAAGCCTGACACTGATAGCACACGATTGGTATGGAGATTGCATTTTAGGTTGTCTTTTTCATTTCTATTGAGATAGCTGGGTGTTTGAAAATTAGGGTCAGTTGATATGTGGCATTGCTGTCTTGTTGGATTCTTGTTTCAATCTCTTTCTCTAGTCTGCCATCAGACAAGATGCTCCCCGAGTGGTTAAAGCGTCCAACTTGTTTTAAATTTTGATCGTTTATCTTTACATCGATTTTTTTGTGTTCTCTGCTATACACTATGACTTCAGTTGTTGTGCCTAAAAATCCAATTAAGCACACATCGCCAAGGGGATTGAACCGCACTCCCAGGGGATTGAACTGCATTCCCAGAGGATTGAACTGCCCTCACAGTTTCAACCCTAACACCCCAACACCCCAGTTATGGCCCCTGGTACTCCACAGAGGGTATTTATTCCCCCGGCCGACACGTGTAGTCATTCTGCTGAGTAACAACCGACCCGGCTGCTTCGATATACCAGCTAAGTGATTTTATGTATCTTATGTAGTATTGTTTAATTTGTATGTGCTGAAGAAGGCTCAAAAGTCGCAAAGTTCACGTTTTGTTTGTATTTGTTATATTGTGAAGCTTGCTAATATACTTTTCGTTCGGTTTTATATCTTTTCCAAACACATTGTAAACACAAGGAACAATGCAATGTGTACACACATTACATCATCCTTTCTGTGGTGTGTTGCCAGTGACCGGGGCCAGCTGGTACCTCTACTACATCAACCGGGGCTCAGGTGACACGATGACTCTCTACCTGGTCTGGAAGCTCACCTTTGAGAAAGAGAACCTCTTCCTCGCCGGAGGTAGATCATGTGTTTCAGTTCATTTGACCTAATTTATCTGTTTGTTCATTTGTCTGAATTTATCTGCCTCAGTTCATTTGAATTTATATGTCTCAATTCATCTGTCTCTGTTCATCTGTCTATTCATTTGTCTGAATTCATCTGTCTCAGTTTATCTGTCTCAGTCTCAGTTTATCTGTCGCAGCTGTCTCAGTTTATTTATTTGAATTCACCTGTCTCAGTTCATTCGTCTCAGTTCATTTCTCTCATTTCATCTATCTCAGTTCTTATGTCTGAATTCATCTGTCTCAGTTTATGTGTCTCAGTTCACTTGTCTCAGTTCATTTGTCTCAGTTCATTTGTCTTAGTTCATTTGTCTCAGTTCATTTGTCTCAGTTCATTTGTCTCCGTTCATTTGTCTCAGTTCATTTCTCTCAGGTCATTTGTCTTCGCTCATTTGTATGAATTCATCTGTCTCAGTTTAGTCGTCTTAGTTCATTTGTCTCCGTTCGTTTGTCTCAGTTCATTTGTCTCAGTTCATTTGTCTCAGTTCATTTGTCTCCGTTCATCTGTCTCAGTTCATTTGTCTCCGTTCATTTGTCTCCGTTCATTTGTCTCAATTCATTATTTTCAATTATTGTTTATGTGTACATACGTATATTTAAGTTTGAAAATAAATCTTTCATGTAATTACTTGTTTAAAATAAAAAATACTTCTCATAAATGTATGTGTGTGTGTTTGTAAGTATATATATATATATATCCTGTCTATCTATCTATCTATCTATCTATCTATCTATCTATCTATCTATCTATCTATCTATCTATCTATCTATCTATCTATCTATCTATCTATCTATCTATCTATCTATCTATCTATCTATCTATCTATCTATCTATCTATCTATCTATCTGTCTGTCTGTCTGTCTGTCTGTCTGTCTGTCTGTCTGTCTGTCTGTCTGTCTGTCTGTCTGTCTGTCTGTCTGTCTGTCTGTCTGTCTGTCTGTCTGTCTGTCTGTCTGTCTGTCTGTCTGTCTGTCTGTCTGTCTGTCTGTCTGTCTGTCTGTCTGTCTGTCTGTCTGTCTATCTATCCACTATCTGTCTGTCTGTCTGTCTGTCTGTCTGTCTGTCTGTCGGTCGGTCGGTCGGTCGGTCGGTCGGTCGGTCGGTCGGTCGGTCGGTCGGTCGGTCTTTCTGTCTGTCTGTCTGTCTGTCTGTCTGTCTGTCTGTCTGTCTGTCTGTCTGTCTGTCTGTCTGTCTGTCGGTCGGTCGGTCGGTCGGTCGGTCGGTCGGTCGGTCGGTCGGTCTTTCTGTCTGTCTGTCTGTCTGTCTGTCTGTCTGTCTGTCTGTCTGTCTGTCTGTCTGTCTGTCTGTCTGTCTGTCTGTATGCCTCTCTGTCTGTGTGCCTCTCTGTCTGTATGCCTCTCTGTCTGTATGCCTCTCAGTCTGTCCGTCTGTCTGCCTCTCTGTCTGTCTCTCTGTCTGCCTCTCTGTCTGTCTGTCTGCCTCTCTGTCTGTCTGCCTCTCTATCTGTCTGTATGCCTCTCTGTCTGTATGTATGCCTCTCTGTCTGTCTGTATGCCTCTCTATCTGTCTGTCTGTCTGTATGCCTCTCTGTCTGTCTGTATGCCTCTCTCTCTGTCTGTATGTCTCTCTCTCTCTGTCTGTATGCCTATCTCTGTCTGTATGCCTTTCTCTGTCTGTATGCCTCTCTGTCTGTCTGTCTGCCTGTCTGTATGCCTCTCTGTCTATCTGTATGCCTCTCTGTCTGTATGCCTCTCTGTCTGTCTGTCTGTCTGTCTGTCTGTCTGTCTGTCTGTCTGTCTGTCTGTCTGTCTGTCTGTCTGTCTGTATGCCTCTCTGTCTGTCTGACTGTATGCCTCTCTGTCTGTCTGACTGTATGCCTCTCTGTGTGTCTGTCTGCCTCTCTGTCTGTCTGTATGCCTCTCTGTCTGTATGCCTCTCTGTCTGTCTGTATGCCTCTCTGTATGTTTGTCTGCGTGTGTGTGTGGTGTGTGTGTAAGTGTGTGAGCACGAATGTAAATATGGTGCTGTGTGTTTTCCTGTGTGTGTTTATATGTAAGAGTCTGTGTGTGTGTCTGTATTTTTGTCTAAGTGAGCGTGTGTGTCTTTGTGGGAGTGTCTCCATCCATGACTGTATTTATGACTGTATGTTTGTATGTGTGTATGCCTGTATTACGAATGTATGTATGTATGTATGCCTGTATGTTTGTATCTATGAATGTTTGTTTGTGTGTATGTAGCCTGTGTGTATGCCTGTTTGCATGTTTGTATGTATGTACGTATGTATGTAATGTTTGCATGCATGTATGTGTGTGTGAGTGGGTGAGCGCGTGTATGTGGGTGTATGTATGCACGCGCGGGTTTTTGCATGCACTTTACAACTCATGCTTTTGTGTTCTTTTATAATATTCATAAAATGCATATCATCATATGATCATAACATGCTTTATTAGTAAAAATACAACTGCTGTGCGAAAGATGTTTGACTGGAAGGGCCGAATGTAAGACGGGCCTGCGTGCCCAATTTTTGACCCTTTGAAAATAAAGTTCGTTCGTTCGTTCGTTCGTTCTGTCTGTCTGCCTCTCTGTCTGTCTGTATGCCTCTCTGTCTGTCTGTCTGTCTGCCTATCTGTCTGTTTGTATGCCTCTCTGTCTGTCTGTGTGTATGCCTCTCTGTCTGTATTCCTCTGTCTGTCTGTTTGCCTCTCTCTCTGTCTGTATGCCTCTCTCTCTCTCTGTCTGTATGCCTCTCTCTCTCTCTCTGTCTATCTGTCTGAGTGTTTGTCTATTTATAAGTCGGTGTGTCTCTTCTTTGCCTGGTTGTCTGTCCGCCCGTCTGTCTTTTTAGTGTGTAAAATTACAAAGCCACTGTATTGTTTCCACCTCCTGAGAGGTATAAGTGTACCGTGTGAGTTGAGTTAAATTGAGAGCCGACATCACAGCACTCCAGAAATTCACATAAGTGCTCCGTCCCCATCTTCAGCAGCCAGCAAAGACTTCAAATACCAACGCCATCAGTGGCAGTCTGATCGAATGTCCGCCTTGCCTTTCCTCTAAGTGTATAGAGCCAGACACGTCGCACCCTTCTCTACACATCTGAATAATCTATTCACACTTCCGCACTGTTGTCATATCTCGCCTGTCAGGCGCAGCTCCCCACCCAGTAGCGCAGAATCAGCCAATCTAGTGACTGGTGTAAACGATCGGAAATGCTTATTGAAGTGTCACAAAGGTTTTGTCAGTGAATCACCCCCCCTCCTCCCACCCCCAACCCCACCCCACCCGACCCCTCCTTCCCTTCAACCCCCCCCCCCTCCTTTTTATCTCTAGTATTTAGCCTTCTGCGTGGTGTGTGGATGAGAGAGAGAGAGAGAGAGAGAGAGAGAGAGAGAGAGAGAGAGGTTTTACACTTATTTTACATTGTACACTTATTTTACGTTGTATACTTTGTGTTTAACATTTTGTAGCCTAGGTTTTGTACGAAAGTTGTTTTCTTTGTCGTATACCATTTCACATTGTCCGCTTTATTGTTTTGACAATGCGTGATTGAACGTTTTGTTTTCTTTTAGTCTATATTGTGTCTGTTATTATGTCCGTACATTAGCTATGTGGTTGTGTTTTTTTCGCAACTCTGATTGTGTTTGTTTGTATTTGTTTTTGCCTTAACATATTCTCTGCCTTGTGCTTGCTTTGAAATTTATGTTAATAATTCTTGTATTGTATTGTCCCCCTATATATATATATATATATATATATATATATATATATATATATATATATATATATATATATATATATATATATATATATATATATATATAAATTACTGACTGATTAGGATACAACAGGATAATGGGTGTGACTGTGTGCACTCGACATCTTCGTGTGTATTTATTTTTTGCATGTTTTTCTGTCATGGCTGTTTGTCTGCAGGTGTCATTTTTGGGGTCATCATGGTTATAGTGTTGCTGATTCTGCTGTTCTTGTGTCAACGCATCCGGATCGCCGTCGCCTTGATCAAACAAGGAAGCAAGTAGGAAACATGTTCTTGTGGTTTCTAGAACATTTGATCTAACAGGGAATAAAGTAGTAAATATGTTTTTGTGATTTCTAGAACATTTGATCTAACAGGGAATAAAGTAGTGACCATGTTTTTGTGATTTCTAGAACATTTGATCTAACAGGGAATAAAGTAGTGAACATGTTTTTGTGGTTTCTAGAACATTTGATCTAACAGGGAATAAAGTAGTGAACATGTTTTTGTGGTTTCTAGAACATTTTGTCTAACAGGGAATAAAGTGCTGAACATGTTTTTGTGGTTTCTAGAACATTTGATCTAACAGGGAAGCAAGTAGTAAACATGTTTTTGTGGTTTCTAGAACATTTGATCTAACAGGGAATAATGTAGTAAACATGTTTTTGTGGTTTCTAGAACATTTGATCTAACAGGGAAGCAAGAAGGCAATATGTTTTTGTGAGATTCAGAACATTAGGGACTGAAGTAAGCAACATGTTCTTATGGGGGTCTAGAACATTTGATCTAACAGTGAATGAGGTAGACAACGTATTCTGGGGTTTTCTAGAACATTTGACCTAACAGTGAATGATGTAAACAAAGTCTGTGTATCATGTCCAGAACATTGGGTCAAACAGGAGATTCAGTTGTCGACTTATTGTTCAGGTTTCCAGAACTCGTGCTCTAACGGGAGCGCAAGTAGCCAAAGTGTTGTGGGTTATACAACATTTTATCCATGAGTGACTCCAGAGAAACATGGCAGTTACCTGGTACAGAAACTAGTAATAACTTGTACAAACTAGCTATGAAACCTACATGGAAGCTCGTGTGTGCACTGACACTAGGATTGCCTCTGTATAACTTTCCTCAGTTTAAGAATGGTAACCAGCTTCAGTGTTTGAAAAACCAGTTGTGTTTCCATCCTTAGGGCCGTGGGAGCTATGTGGTCCACGCTGTTTTGGCCCGTGTTCCCCTTTATTCTCCAGATCGTTGTGGTGGCTCTGTGGGGAGCTATCGCTACGTATCCTTTTATCGTTTATGTATCAGGTAATCTATTCATGTATTTATGTCTTTCTTTATCTCCTCATGTCTGTCTATTAGCCCGTATGTCTATCTCCACAGCTAAAATATGGAACAATCTTCATAACATATCATCAACCTCAATGCATAAATTTGCATCTGTACTAATCATACAAACTATATGCTCATAGTAAAAGTGTTACAGTTTTAAACAGAGTATGGAGTTTTGTATGTGCGTTTTTGAAGCTTACAAGTGGGTGATTGTGTTTAACAATTTTACTAGTACTAGTAATCGCTATCCGCGGTGGCCCTGTTTTCAACGTTATTATTGGTTTTAGATAGTGGTACGAGAGTAGCACCGTGGAAGAGATGTAAGGCTCCTCGTGAAATATTTCCAGACAGGAGATAGTAAACTGTCGTCTACCTTTATCGTGAAGACAGCATGGGATTTTTAAAAAAAACACACATTTGTATGCGTGTAAACTACGATCAAAAACCAGAAATCTAATGGCAGAGTAAATATCATTTATGAGAAAACAGCAATATATATATATAAAATCATATACATAGATACACACACACACACACACACACACACACATAATGAGTGGACAGAAGAACAGACAAGTCAGTCTTCAAGGAAACAAGACATAGTCGAATTGTGGGCATGTTATGAGAAAAAATAACTTGAAAACTTAGCGACAACTGGGAGAATTGGTGGAAGAATTACCAGGGTTGATATTTCTGTTACCATCGTCCCTATCATTATTATTTACAGTTGTATTGTTTATTAATTCAGTTTGCCATTGTGTTTAATTTCCGTGTGTGTGTGGTGGAGGGGGGGGAGGAGGGGGGAGGGGGCGGTTATCCTCTACTCTAATGTTGTTTGACATGTTGCTGTCGTTGTTTACAATTCCTGCCCAGGCGATGAGATTACATACACTGATGGCTATCAGCTGAGACGCAGAAAAACTTCGTGCGGTTTCATTGCAAAGCTGATGGATGTCGATTAGTGCAACAAAGTCAAGGATGTGATCTCTGTTAGTTTGATATTATAACCAGATACAAACAAATGTCCTGACTCGGACATACCCAAAACGCTTGCTGAAAGAGATGGACGCAGTTATGTTCCGTGCAAATGAGCAGGCAGTCATTTAGAAGTCTAAGATAGTTAGCGTCTTTTTGTTAGTTTCTCTGAGGCATGAAGGTGTGTTGGGAAACGAATCGACAAATTGGCTATTTCGGCACAACTCTGGACCACTTGGTGATCAATTAATGCAAGACAAGCTGTAGGTGGTCGAGGATTTGTGAGAATATGAACAATGACGAAGCTCGAATAAATCGTTACAGTCTGGAGAGAATGGTGCAGCGGGAGGTGGCTAGGGGAGTCTGGCTGACAGTCTCCGCGTAGAGGAAAGGCAAGACGGACATATAGTCAAACTGCTACTGGTGCTATGGAAACTGGTACTCTTCGCTGGCTTCGGAAACGGGAAACGGTGCACTTATGGAAATGTCCTGAGTGCTACAATGTCAACTTGATTACTTATGACTCGTTTAGAAATTGACATCATAACACTAAACATTGTTCAGTTGTTCCTTTTTTTTTTTTTTTAGTGTCGCAATTGAAACTGAAACAAATATAACGGTTTCTTGTTTGTGTTGCTTGTTGCTGCAGCGGTTATTGCTAAAACTTGCGCTGCTGCTCATTGCTGTATTGTCTTTATTATCCTTGACCTTGACCTAGATACCTAGCGTCAGTAGGTCGGGGCAACGACATGGCGGTCAACAACTTGACCTACTCCAACGGTAGCTACAAATACGACGCCATCAAGGAGCAGTCCAAACATTTGCTGGAGAAGTTCCCATGCGACGTCAATGTAAGTACTCAACAGCCTTCACGGGAGTTTGATCAAGCCATGGTTATGTGTGATGGTCGTTCAATCTCAAATGAACAAGGATACAATCACTAACGAGAATGCACACAATCAGTTATCTCTGGGTTGTGGCTATACTAAAAGTAATCAAACATCTCTTGACAGTAGAAACACTAATACAATTGTGGTACAGGAAGTTTATATGTGATAAGAAGAGTTGCAGGTAATCACGAGGATCTAACTCTAAAACTTTAGATAAACCTGTGTTTAACGTTAGGGCCCTTAAGTGAATGGAGCCCATTAGACAGATAAGATGGTTCTTAAGAGACTTGCGGTCTCATTCATGGAAGTTGCAAGACATGAAGGCCGTAATTTTCATGTCAAAGACACCTCGATGCCCCTGGGATTCAGCTGAGGTGAGCTGATTCAAGAACCGACAGCACAGCACTTGGGGCATTCCCATAAGTGCTCTGTCCCATCCTCAGCAGCCGGCCAGGATTCCAATACCAGTGGTACCAGTAGCAGCCTGATTATATGTTCGTCTCGCTTTTCTCCTAAGCGTCGAGTATTGGCCATATCCCCTCGTCACGGCTAGCTGCATCACTCCTGGGATTTACATTGCATAGGCATTGGTTTAAGGAACAGTTTTGATTATCACACAGCTGTATTTTGCTCACCCTCTGCCAGTGAGATGTGCATTAGGGAATCTTCATTCGTCAAGTGGTATAATGATGTAATGGTGACGATAATAATGATGATGATGAGGTCAAGAGTGGTGGTGCAGATGATGTTGGTGATATCTATGATGCCAACAATAGCATGTATGTCTAATACAACAATAGACTGTGAGCTACTGCCCACTGTCTCCCATTTATATTTCAGAGCTCTGTCACCGGAGATTTGTGTGGCTTTATCAAATATGGGACCGGAGAGTAAGTAGAGTTTCTTTGTGTCTTTTTTATGTGTAAATGGGGGGGGGGGGGGGGAGGGGGAGTAAACACACATACTTGGGGTGCGGGCCCAGAGAGAGAGCGTGAGAAAGATAAAGATAGAGAGACAGAAAAAGAGAGAGAGATAAATGCTAGATGGGCTGAAATGATAGCATGAATGGATATCATCAAGAGAGCTGTTGCAGGCAACCAGGGATCGTGATCTGTGGAGACGCATGAGTGCCTTCGCCAACTGGCTAGGCACTTGATGATGATCAATACCTATAAATTTATTTCTTTTATTACTAGTTGATTAATTAATTAATGTATCGTCCTTCTAAGCAGATAGAACTAACAGCTCCTCGCTACACTGAAATATCGGTATCAGTTCTCTATGTGATGTACCGGTAAATGATTTCATTGTCCATGCAAACATCCATCAGATAGAGCCTACTATGTGAGAACAGCAGGCTTCAAGGCAAGAGGTCGACAGAAACGGGTGTATATAGTAAAAGAGAAGTACAGTAAAAGAGAAACAGAAAGAAAGAGAGTAAAAGAGAAACACAATGTGACATTGAAACAAGCTACGAAACTAGCAAAAGACTTTTTTTTTTTTTTTTTTAGATATAACTCCTCTTTGTTGTAATTTTCTGCATAAACAGTAGGGTATAGGCAGAAGGAAGAAGAAAATACAGTACACGTACAGCCACAGTAGACGGCCGAGTGTTACTAATGAACTCATGTTATCAAATCTTCAGGCGCCGTTGCAACCTTCACAACAGACTGGACACTATAATTGCTGCGTTTCTGTTTCGGTAAAAGCCACAAGAAATATTTATCACTGTCCCAAATGTAGAGGCAAGCAGACAGCAATGTCAGCAAGATCAAACAGCTCGCACATGCATTGAACGCATAGGGCAACCACCATAGGTGCAACACAAAAATTGAGTCATTAGAACAGTATTTCATAGACGATGGAAGCAAGTCAGGATACGTCTGTAGGTGTTCACATATTACCGCACAATGCACGCAGTCAGATCTGTGGCCACCAGTCACTCACCGTTTTCTTACTATACAGTTAACCACCAATCTCCGTGAGCACATTTAAATCAATCTCTATGTCCGGACAGATAAGTTTGTTTCAGTGTCATTTTGCCCTTTCAGCTGGACCATCTACTGCCAGATCTTCAACTTGTTCATGCTATTTTGGCTGGTCAACTTCGTCTCGGCCCTGGGGCAGCTGACTCTGTCCGGGGCATTTTCCAGCTGGTACTGGGCGTTTGTGAAGCCGAAAGATATCCCAGCACTACCTCTGTTGAGGGCATTCTGGTGGTGCTTCAGGTGAGAATATCTATAGCTGACCTTCCCGGAATATAATACAGGCAATCTGAGTATTTCTGTATGTCGGTTTACAGGCGACAGGTCATACATTTGAAATACTTCAAGTGTAAACGAAATAAATTTTAAAAAAAAAAACAGAAACATATAGATGTCTGGGCTGTTTATTACTCTTAAAAATTTGGAAAGGGGGAGGGCTGAGCTCCCTAAAATATTGGGGGTGGGGGAGGGAGGTGTCATTGCGTTCAGGCACCCGTCTTCCCTGATTCGAATGTCAAAAATATAAATGAGCTGAGGTGAACTCAGTGCTATGCTAGATATATAAATGAGCTGTCAGGAACTCTGTGCTATATATAAATGAGCTGTCGAGAACCCTATGCTATATATATAAATAAGCTGTCGTGAACCCTGTGCTTTTTTAAATGGGCTATCGAGAACTCTGTGCTATATATAAATGAGCTGTCGCGAACCCTGTGCTATAATATAAATGAGCTGTCGCGAACCCTGTGCTATATTATAAATGAGCCATCGTAAACTCTGTGCTATAATATAAATGAGCTGTCGTGAACTTTGTGCTATATATATAAATGAGCTGTCATGAACTCTGTGCTATAATATAAATGAGCTGTCATGAACTCTGTGCTATAATATAAAGGAGCTGTCATGAACTCTGTGCTATATATAAATGAGCTGTCATGAACCCTGTGCTATAATATAAATGAGCTGTCGCGAACTCTGTGCTATAATATAAATGAGCTGTCATGAACTCCATGCATTAATATAAACACAAGTTAACTGAATTAGACCAATGGTGTTAACCTCCTATATTTATAGGCCATTACTGATTAGTTAACGTGTGTGATCAGTATCGCCATGGCCGCTTTTACTTCTCATGAAACTTCTGCACCCTGTTTAGATTAGGTCGATCTGGGTAGCCAGGGCCATCAGTGAAACATCGCCGCCTTGAGGGGATTCAAACCTATGACCGTCAAGCCGTCAGGCAGACAAGATTATCGGTTTTTTAAAAGATTTGTTCCGCTCTAAACAGAAAAGGCTGACACAGAAGTTGAAATGTTTACCTCCCCAACTGGGGGACTTGGGTCCGATTCTCGGTCAATCTCAGGGCTGAAAAATCATCCTACCGAGCAACAACGGAGTTTGGTCTTCAAACCCATGGCACGGAAATAGAAATGCTTCCTGCAGCCATCAGAAATGGTACGGGTCACCAGTGGATGCCTCGCCGGGTGACGTAGGCGTTAATAACTCTTCACATGCTAAAGACACTTCTGTTTTGGATCAGTTCTGATGATAATATTCACGCCACTGTGGTGGGTGATTTAGAATCATTCCTTTGTCGCTTGTGTCTATGATCTGTTTGGTCATCACGACGCTCTTCAAGACGTCTCTGGCATCACACGAGCAAAAGACACTGGTCCATTCATAAAGGCATCACACGAGTAAAAGACACTGGTCCATTCATAAAGGCATCACACGAGTAAAAGACACTGGTCCATTCATAAAGGCATCATCTTCCATTCTTAGCGCTCCAGCATCACACGATAGTAATTGTAGAAGACACTGGTCCATTCAAATGTAATGAAGGTGTCAAATTCTGGTTGTTCGTCCATTTCTGGACTTCACTCTTGTTCCAAAACTTAGGTTTGCTTGCAAATCCGTTTTTACAGATTTGGCTTATTTGTATCCAGACTGTTGGTTCTCCGTCTCTCATGTACATGCCCTACAAATTCGAACCCCTTTAATCAGTCGCCTTGTAGGACATGCTTGTCAGGGAGGCAGTGGGTCTATTCTTTTTTGTGTGTCCCAGAATGGGGTCCCCTAACCCACACGGGAAATAAAGTTACATATAGTATGTTATCTCTCTAACATATTCCAAGTAATCTCCCGTTAGCCATTCTTACTGTCCGAGGCGAACTGTCCGAGGCGGACCATCCGAGGTGGACCTCCAAGGTGGACTGTCCGAGGTGGACTGTCCGAGATGGATGTCCGAGGTGGACTGTCCGAGGTGTTTGGATTGGTTGAAACTAAAATAAATAAAACCTCTGTCAACGTTCCTGTATTGGTTTCTTGTACGGAGATTCTATTTGCAGGTACCATCTGGGGTCATTAGCGTTCGGATCTTTGTTGATAGCCATTGTCCAGCTGATCCGGACGTTCCTGGAGTATCTGGACCACAAACTCAAGGGCTCCGAGAACCCTGTGGCCAAGTTCTTCCTCAAGTCAGTCGTTTGTTGTCATCCTCGTCTTTATTGTGGTCGTCATCATTACCATTATCTGCATCGTCGACGTCAACATTTTCTTCTGCTTTTTCGTCGTCTTTCCTCCTCCTTCTCCTTCTTCTTCCTTAAGTCATTCCCCTCCTCCTCCTTCTCCTCTTCTTCCTTAAGTCATTCCCCTCCTCCTCCTCTCCTCTTCTTCCTTAAGTCATTCCCCTCCTTTTCCTTCTCCTCTTCTTCCTTAAGCCATTACCCTCCTCCTCCTCCTTCTCCTCTTCTTCCTTAAGTCATTCCCCTCCTTCTCCTTCTCCTCTTCTTCCTTAAGTCATTCCCCTCCTCCTCCTTCTCCTCTTCTTCCTTAAGCCATTCCCCTCCTCCTCCTCCTTCTCCTCTTATTCCTTAAGTCATTCCCCTCCTCCTCCTTCTCCTCTTCTTCCTTAGGTCATTCCCCTCCTCCTCCTTCTCCTCTTCTTCCTTAAATCATTCCCCTCCTCCTCCTTCTCCTCTTCTTCCTTAAGTCATTCCCATCCTCCTCCTTCTCTTCTTCTTCCTTAAGTCATTCCCCTCCTCCTCCTTCTCCTCTTCTTCCTTAAGTCATTCCCCTCCTCCTCCTCCTCCTTCTTCTCCTCTTCTTCCTTAAGTCATTCCCCTCCTCCTCATCCTCCTTCTCCTCTTCTTCCTTAAGTCATTCCCCTCCTCCTTCTCCTTCTTCTCCTCCTTCTCCTCTTCTTCCTTAAGTCTTTCCCCTATTTTGCCTTAACTGCCATCAGCCCAGCAGACATCACACTACTACCTCCATCAGCCCAGCAGACATCACACTACTACCGCCATCAGCCCAGCAGACATCACACTACTACCGCCATCAGCCCAGCAGACATCACACTACTACCGCCATCAGCCCAGCAGACGTCACACTACTACCGCCATTACCCCAGCAGACGTCACACGACTACCGCTATTACCCCAGCAGACGTCACACGACTACCGCCATCAGCTCAGCAGACATCACACGACTACCGCCATCATCCCAGCTACAGTTCACAGCTGTGGTTACTAGAACTATTCACTTCGCTGTTACAGCTGCTGTCATTGCTGACACTGCTTACATCAGTACAATGTTGTTAGTCCATCACGAATGATGAAGGCCACTTGTCATCCAAAGTAGTAATGATCAATGATTATGTGTACGATGGTGGCTGATTAGTCCAATATGAGCCCGTGAAGTTCTTGAGCAGTGCAGACAACAGTAGGCTACTACAACTGGAACAGCAACTGCTGCCGCTACTAACACTACCAACATCAGTAGACTACTACAGCTGGAACTGCAACTGCTGCCACTACTAACGCTAATAACATCAGTAGACTACTACAGCTGGAACAGCAACTGCTGCCACTACTAACGCTAATAACATCAGTAGACTTCTACAGCTGGAACAGCAACTGCTGCCACTACTAACGCTAATAACATCAGTAGACTACTACAGCTGGAACAGCAACTGCTGCCACTACTAACGCTACTAACATCAGTAGACTACTACAGCTGTGACAGCAGCTGCTTCCACTGCTAACACTACCAAGATCAGTTCACTACTACAGCTGTGACAGCAGCTGCTGCCACTGTTAACGCTACCAACATCAGTAGATTACTACAACTAGAACAGCAACTGCTGCCACTACTAACGCTACTAAGATCAGTAGACTACTACAGCTGGAACAGCAACTGCTGCCACTACTAACGCTACTAACATCAGTAAACTACCACAGCTGTGACAGCAGCTGCTGCCTGCTGCCACTGCTAACACTACCAACATCAGTTCACTACCACAGCTGTGACAGCAGCTGCTGCCACTGCTAAGACTACCAACATTAGTAGACTACTACAGCTGGAACAGCAGCTGCTGCCACTGCTAACACTACCAACATCAGTAGACTACTACAGCTGTGACACCAGCTGCTGCCACTGCTAAAACTACCAACATCAGTTCACCACTACAGCTGTGACAGCAGCTGCTTCTACTGCTAACACTACCAATATCAGTTCACTACTACAGCTGTGACAGCAGCTGCTTCCACTGCTAACACTACCAACATCAGTTCACCACTACAGCTGGGACAGCAGCTGCTGCCACTGCTAACATTACCAACATCATTTTACTTCTACAGCTGGGACAGCAGCTGCTGCCACTGCTAACATTACCAACATCATTTCACTTCTACAGCTGGGACAGCAGCTGCTGCCACTGCTAACATTACCAACATAATTTCACTTTCTACAGCTGGGACAGCAGCTGCTGCCACTGCTAACACTACCAACATCATTTCACTTCTACAGCTGGGACAGCAGCTACTATTACTACTGCTACAGATTGAGTATATCGAACTATAATGTCCCTTTGTGCTGTCTGATTGTGTCTAAAAAAGCTCCTTCTCTCCTCGACATTTGCTAAAATTATGGTTTTTGTTTATGGTTTTGTCTCTTATTTTACTTTCTTTGACATGCGTACGAAATGTGCTTAATACGTCTGTAAAATGCTGTTTTGTACCTGTTAGATTTCTCATATGCTGTTTCTATTCATGACAGATGTCTCAAATGCTGTTTCTGTTCATGACAGATGTCTCAAATGCTGTTTCTGGTGTCTAGAAAAGATCCTCAAGTTTATCTGCAAAAACGCTTACATCATGGTAGGTTTCTTGCCAGCTTGGACAATATTTTATTTCTTGCTATTGTATTTAACTTGTAAATACCACAAGCTTAGAATAGCATGATTCTAGAAGCAATAGCAATGGGACTCTATATGATATAACAAGCTACAGTAATCTTAGGTTTCATGCAGATACAGCCGGATCTTGATGACAAGCCTATCTTTTCAGTCACCAGTTGGCTTCCACGAAGTAACATTGTTAGATCGTCCACGGATGAGTGACGTTTAACTCCACCTGGACCCCACAACAAGCGATAAACACCCGGTGACACAAAGTGCCACTAGTTTGATGGAAATCTCCCAGTCACAATTTCCAGAAACCTAGTTTAACCGTAAGGTTATTTTATGGCCCCAGACAGCGGTAACGAAATCACCTGAAGGCCAGCTGGGCTGGAACTTTGAGTGTTTAGAAAACAATAGACCCTTTGTGGGACCAGGTTTCATGATTGAAATGTCTGTTAAATAAATCTGTCTCAGCCAGTTTGTTTTGGGTGACAAAATGTTCAAACTAAGAATTAAACCTGCCGGCATTGAATTTGTAAGCTAGTGCAGTAACGTGTGTACAACTGTGGGATATTCGATTGATTCTTGTATTGGTTAAGACGGTCTATAGCTTTTGTTAATGTGTACAAGAAGGGTGTGTAACTCTAGGTAATGTGTACAAGAAGGGTGTGTAACTCTAGGTAATGTGTACAAGAAGGGTGTGTAACTCTAGGTAATGTGTACAAGAAGGGTGTGTAACTCTAGGTAATGTGTACAAGAAGGGTGTGTAACTCTAGGTAATGTGTACAAGAAGGGTGTGTAACTCTAGGTAATGTGTACAAGAAGGGTGTGTAACTTCTAGGATTCCGGGTCGAGATCTCGTGGAACAGGTTCCTTTTCTCAGGCACTAGATAACTTTTCTCATATATAAATAACTTGGATAATATGTAACTTTTCTCAGGGAATAAGCAACTTTTCTCAGGGATGAGGCAGTGGCTGGCGAGGCGTACTGTCTGGTGGTAGTCATGGCACGGGATCTGTTGTCTCTGGAGAGAGTGGGTCACATGTAAATTTGCGGGACTTAGCTGAGCTGGCAATAAGTGACAGAGAGGTATTAGTGAAGGCGAAGTTAGTGTTAGATAGCGCCATCTCGCCAGGGAAGGTACCAGTTGGATGGGTACAGATATCAGCAAGGGGAAACGGAGGGGGTGGGGCTTTACGAATAGATAGCTTACAAACAAGTGAGTAGTGAAACATGTGTTTTCACCTTGTCTGACATATTTTACTAATCCGTATCGTTTGAATCGTACACTGATAAAGGTTTTTCAACCGCAACGTTAATTTTGTCTTTGTTGATTTTAGCGTTGTAGAGCTGATTAGTTCTACTTCTCTTTCGATTACCGTTTGTTTCAGAGAGCAGTGGGAGAATCTATTTTATGCACAAATGCAGTGTAATCACTTTCGCTTGGCAGAAACATGATGATGATGATGATGATTAGGTTTGTGTTGAATACTTCTCCACTAAGGCTAACTGATGAGCCTTGATGGTGTAGGTTCGAATCCACATCAAGTCGAATTTTTTTTGTTCCAATAATGACCTTGGCACCCAATTATTACACCAAGTGTCGATTGGTCTGTAAAACCATGAGCGTTGTTTCTTATACCAGACACTTCACTGGCAGGGAAAGGTCCCTTACTTACTGTACTTACAGCTAACTTATATAACAGTCAGACACTGTTTCCTTACAGATTGCTGTCAGCGGGAAAAGTTTCTGCCCCGCCGCTATCCGAGCCTTCAAACTGATCCTGAACAACTGTGTCAGAGCTTTCGTTCTCGACAAGGTCACTGACTTTCTGCTGTTTGTGTGCAAGTTGGTCGTGGTCGGGTTGGTAGGTAAGTCAGACCAAACGAAAGCATTTGACGCTAAGTTCCATTACATACATCTGTGTGTGCACTCACCGACCGAGCTGACAATAGTTTCGACTTCACTGACTTCGGCATCGTGCCAACGATTCACGACGGGACGTAGGATTTCCAAGCAGAAATGGAAAATGTCGCGACCGCCATTGAATCTTTTACAAGATCTAGTTCTTTTTTTTTTAAATTTAATCTTACTTCGCCCCCCCCCCCCCCCCCCCCCCCCCGGGCCACCCCAACTTTCAGATGACGTCACAGGACAGCCCAGCATTCTAGAGGGTGGTAAGATTGGGTTTCCCGGCTTTCTGGAGCTTTTAACGACCCCAAAACATCTTGAACTGGCCCTAACCCCAACCCACCTACGTCCAACGGGAGAGTGCAGCCTAGGTCCCACGACTGCATGCAGCCTATCTACCACCAACTGAAATATTAGACTGTCCTGTGACCTGTGGATTTCCCCTGTTTGTGGTAGGATAGTAATAAACCATCCAAGATTGTCCCTTACAACATACTCATTAGACTACTGTTGGACATGTACATCGAGACAAACTGGATCAACTGGATTGGAGCAACGCTTTACTAAAGAACAGTGTGGCTGCTGTGTGGTGCGTGAGCATCAGAACCTTCACATGCCTTCATAGGCCTGCCCTCAAGGATCACAGTTATTTCTTATTCTCTGTAATGTGTTTACGCTAGCAGTCAGTGCTGCACACATCAAAGGCCGGGGCAGAACAATTTTGTTGGCAGACGATATCTGTGTGTACGGATGAGCAAGGAACAGGCCTGATATGACAACAACGCTGCAACATGAATTAGACAGGATCAGTAAGTGGTGCTAGGAATCAAGAGCAGATAAGTCCGGCAATGACCTCTTTAAAATGGTTTTCATTGAACGTCCACATTGTCAGTATACTAACACTAGTCGCGCGCATGTATGGTATAGACACTGAGATAATCAACGCAATGAGATACCTCGACATAACCTTTAACATATATTTGTCATATAAGCGTCACCTACTCAGTGCCATAGTTATAGCCAGGAGAGCTCTGACAGCGTTTGATGGCAGCTGCAGATATTAAACAATACCAGCTTTATCTTCTCTATCAGGGACTTGTGTTACGGTATAGGTCGTCTTAACTGTCAGAAGAACCCAGCTAGAAAGATCGGACCAGGTACAAAATGAGGCTATTAGACTTGTACTCGGCTGAGCAAAAGATACCTCGTTCTGCACAAAAGACACCTCGTTCTGCACAAAATACACCTCGTTTTGCACAAAAACACATCTCATTCTGCACAAAAGACATCTCGTTTTGCACAAAACACATCTCGTTCTGCACAAAAGATACCTCGTTCTGCACAAAGGATTTAGCTTTGTCGCCCAGCTACTAAGAAGTGCATTGTGGGAAACTGTGAGCTGCGGATTTCACTTGGAATGTTTCTCGGCTGTGACCAACGTGGTGTTGTAAATTGTAGATTCAGAAAATGGCATGTGGCCTGTCGTTGTAAAATTGGTAGTGCTCTTATGTGATTAATCGCGTGTGCAACTGCTGATCTGTTGGTAACTTCTGCTACCGTCGATGATGACCTGCATTTCTAATGTTGGACTGTTTGCGTTAGCACTTCCCATGGCTACCGTATGATTTTAATGCGTGTGTATGCTAGTGCATGTACTGAGACAGCAGTCTGTCAATCTTTCCACAAGGGACTGTGAAAAACATTCTGTGTGGTTTTCGTTGGCACAGGAGCGGAGCAACTATGGGGTGCCCCGTTTGCTATGAAGCTGAAACTAAAGTTACCAAGATTAGAAAAACAAGAAAAGGGGATAACTGCGCTTACCAGACACCTAGGTCACGCAATAGCACGGCGATAACCACTAATGCACTATCACGGGTAGCAGAACAAGCGGCCACACATGGAGCAATCGTATCAGACTCAATACACTTCAGAACAAGCGGCCACACATGGAGCAATCGTATCAGACTCAATACACTTCAGAACAAGTAGTCAATACTGTGAATGGGTAGAAAGCATTCAGAAGTCGCAGTTAACCTCCATCACCTCGATGTACACACCTGGGTATGTAGGAGAAGAAGGTAATGGAAGAGCAGACCAGACGACAAGTAATACACCAATGCATACGAAAAGACAAATAATGCACCAATGCAAACGGAAAGACGCATAGACAAAGCTAAAATCATCAAAGCTCTCTGGACTAAACTGGCGGACAATGATGTATCTTTAATGCTAGCCCGAATGCCTAACCTTGGAGCAGAGCCTGATGAAGCACGTCTCTGCCCTCTTCTATGTCAAGACAATGGACACCATAACCACCTCCTCATGGGAAATGTACCTTGGAGTGGCTACTGTATGGCATGAACGAGCACGCATAGTAATTGTAACATAACGTAACCTAACGTAATGTAACATAACGTAACCTAACGTAATGTAACATAACGTAACCTAACGTAATGTAACATAACGTAACCTAACGTAATGTAACATAACGTAACCTAACGTAATGTAACATAACGTAACCTAACGTAATGTAACATAACGTAACCTAACGTAATGTAACATAACGTAACCTAACGTAATGTAACATAACGTAACCTAACGTAATGTAACATAACGTAACACAAAACAACATTGAGACCGGACTAGTGTAGCTGCCTGTTTGACCACTCTGTGGTGCTACCTGAAAGTTTGATCACTCTGTGGTGCTACCTGAAAGTTTGATCACTCTGTGGTGCTACCTGGAGGTTTGACCACTCTGTGGTGCTACCTGGAGGTTTGACCACTCTGTGGTGCTACCTGGAGGTTTGACCACTCTGTGGTGCTACTTGAAAGTTTGATCACTCTGTGGTGCTACCTGAAAGTTTGATCACACTGTGGTGCTACCTGAAGGTTTGACCACTCTGTGGTGCTACCTGGAGGTTTGACTGAGCATGCGACTTCCGCAGTCACAACCTGAATATGAACCAGAAGGGAATATTCAAGACATCCTGTTCAGTCTCCAAAACAGCTACATGCGCACCCGTAATGGCTACACAAACTATTAATCTGATGTAGCCTGCAGACCTGTGTCGGTGGGTGTTGTTCTAACTTGGTGTAGTTTCCAGCCTTGTGTCGGTGGGTGTTGTTCTAACTTGGTGTAGTTTCCAGCCTTGTGTCGGTGGGTGTTGTTCTAACTTGGTGTAGTTTCCAGCCCTGTGTCGGTGGGTGTTGTTCTAACTTGGTGTAGTTTCCAGCCCTGTGTCAGTGGGTGTTGTTCTAACTTGGTGTAGTTTCCAGCCCTGTGTCAGTGGGTGTTGTTCTAACTTGGTGTAGTTTCCAGCCCTGTGTCAGTGGGTGTTGTTCTAACTTGGTGTAGTTTCCAGCCCTGTGTCAGTGGGTGTTGTTCTATCTAACTTGTGTCCGACTGTAAGTCTGCAAAATTCCTTTAGTAACAATGTATAGCAGGGAAGCCGACGTAAACAAAACATTTTGTGTTAGTGTGGGGGTGGGGGGGGGGCTACAGTTTTCTGGGAGAAGAGATGTCTTCAAAGGGCTTAATTCTTGTTCAATTGCGCAATATTAGTATTTTGTGCCTAATAAACCCCCCTCATTCCCCCACCCCAAATATAAAAATATTTGAAACAATCGGGAACGCATAAAGAAATGCACAGACAAAGAACGTCCATACATGATACCTACATAATTTTCTAGAGGGGAAAAAAGGGAGAAGGGCCTCTTTATGCAGAAATGTGTAGGTATGTCTTGAACAGCATGTGTCCTGGTGTCAGTGCATCCTTACGTATGTGATTTAGTACTTCTGCATCCAATTATATAGGTCAATATGTGTTAGTGCTAGCTTTGTTTGTGAGTGGAGTATATCTTTGTATCATGTACCATTATTTGTTGCTAGGTTTCATTGCCTACTTCTTCTTTGATGGTCGGATCACCTTCTTAAACGACTACAAGCCACAGCTCAACTTTTACCTAGTGCCTATAATTGTAAGTATTCTAGCAGACCATAAATCACACAACAACATTTACCTAGTGCCTATAATTGTAAGTATTCTAGCAGACCATAAATCACACAACAACATTTACCTAGTACCTGTAATTGTAAGTATTCTAGCAGGCGATATATGTCAAAACAACGTTTACCTATCACCTATAATTGTAAGTATTCTAGCAGACCATAAATCACACAACAACGTTTTCTATCACCTATAATTGTAAGTATTCTAGCAGACGATATATCACACAACAACGTTTACCTATCGCCTATAATTATAAGTATTCTAACAGACGATATATCACAGAACAACGTTTACCTGATTCCTATAACTGTAAGTATTCTAGCAGATGATATATCAGAAAACAAAGTTTACCTGGCTCCTATAATTGTAAGTATTCTAGCAGATGATATATCACACAACAACGTTTACTCAGCTCCTATAATTGTAAGTATTCTAGCAGAGGATATATCACACAACAACGTTTACCTGGCTCCTATAATTGTAAGTATTCTAGCAGAGGATATATCACAAAACAACGTTTACCCGGCTCCTATAATTTAAGTTTTCTAGCAGATGATATATCACAAACCAACGTTTACCCGGCTCCTATAATTGTAAGTATTATAGCAGATGATATATCAGAAAACAACGTTTACCCGGCTCCTATAATTGTAAGTATTCTAGCAGATGATATATCACACAACAACGTTAACCTGGCTCCTATAATTGTAAGTATTCTTGCTGACGATATATCACACAACAACGTTTACTCAGCTCCTATAATTGTAAGTATTCTAGCAGACATAGATACTCCCACAGCTGCAAGTCGCAGTGGCAAGATCAAACAGGCAGAAACAATTATTGAACTAGTGTCCAATACAGGTTTCAGAATGCTTTCTTTCCTTCTGACAGTGTTGTCATAAGTTCAAATACCTGTCATATCGGATCACTGACCTGCGTACTGGGAAATATCCTGGGCAGTTAAGTGGTATTCACCACAACAGCCACGAAATCTGGATTGTTCTAGAAAGAAAGCTGGCTAGGACATGTATTACCAACAGGTCTAAATGTGAATCTTTCACTGACTTTATGATACATGGACAAAAGTCAGCTTACATGAAAGTTTATATCTTGTTCGTTGGTATCAATGCTAATGCTGGAATTGTGACTAATCTTAAACTATAAGTGGGGTTTTGGTGTGCGTGTGCATGCGTGCGTGCATGCGTGTGTGTAAAAGGAGATAAGAATATCAGAAGAAAACAAGCGTTGAGATCCCTAGCGCTGAGAAAGCTAACAGAAACCCTCTTGTCTGGGTTCAGATATCCCGGGGTTGGGGGGGGGGGGGGAGCAATGCTCCTTCAAATGTAATACATTGTGACTAATTCAGTATTTTGTGAAATCGGATGTACCATGTCTAAAGCGCATATATCACAGCCTAGCTGTCAACAACAATTCAACGTGCTAACCAGGTATTTCAAGGGCCATCACAGAATATAAACTTATTTTTAAAAATCCCGGGTGGGTTTCGGGGTCCGATTTTGGGGGTTAAACAAGAGTGGACCCACTATACCTCCTCCCCTTTTTTCAAACCCAACAAGCATGTCGTAAAAGCCAAGTAAGGAGGGGTGTTTTCTTCGAACTCGGTGTGCATCTGTCTAAGGGGAACCAACAGTCTGCAAACAAATAAGCCAGATGGTAAGATAGATAAATGTGAGACCTATGTCAAATGTGTTTGATCTCTGTCGTTTCCGCAGATCGTCATCCTAGGCTCTTACATCGTGGCCGACATCTTCTTCAGTGTCTACGAGATGGCCGTCGACACGATCTTCCTGTGTTTCTGTGAGTCGCTGTATCTACAACTAGCACATTTCAGAATATACCATGTTTTATATTGTCTGTTGGAAACCGCACAGGTGTAGCGGTTAGTAGCTCCGCATACCAGCCTGAAAGTCGTAGGTTCGAATCTGCATCGAGTGACACTTGCTGCTGCTGCTGCTGCTATTACTACTGCTGCTGCTACTACTGCTGCTATTACTATTACTGCTCCTTCTACTACTACTACTGCAATTACTATTGCTGCTGATGTTACTGTTGCTCACAATATAAACGATCTTGGCTCTCAGGTCAATCCAATATAAAATGTGTGAATTTCTAAGAAGTAAAAATCGCCGATGCAATGTTGATCACATCAGCCATCATGTGTTTACCAACTAGGCGTCTGACATCATTTGTTTACCAACTAGGCGTCTGACATCATTTGTTTACCAACTAGGCGTCTGACATCATTTGTTTACCAACTAGGCGTCTGACATCATTTGTTTACCAACTAGGCGTCTGACATCATTTGTTTACCAACTAGGCGTCTGACATCATTTGTTTACCAACTAGGCGTCTGACATCATTTGTTTACCAACTAGGCGTCTGACATCATTTGTTTACCAACGAGGCGTCTGACATCATTTGTTTACCAACTAGACGTCTGACATCATTTGTTTACCAACTAGGCGTCTGACATCATTATGTATTTATTGACATCGTCTGTGTTCTTTCTGTTTGTTGTCAGTGTAATCTTTCTATTTATTGACATCGTCTGTGTTCTTTCTGTTTGTTGTCAGTGTAATCTTTCTATTTATTGACATCGTCTGTGTTCTTTCTATTTGTTGACAGTGTAATCTTTCTATTCATCGACATTGTCTATGATCTTTCTGTTTGTTGACATAGTCTGTGATATTTCTGTTTGTTGACATTGTCTGTGATCTTTCTGTTTGTTTACATTGTCTGTGGTCTTTATGTTGTTGTTTTTTTTTTGACATTGTGTGTTATCTTTGTGTTTGTTGACATTGTCTGTGATCTTTCTGTTTGTTTACATTGTCTGTGATTTTTATGTTCTTTGACATTGTCTGTGATCTTTGTGTTTGTTGACATTGTCTGTGATCTTTCTGTTTGTTTACATTGTCTGTGATTTTTATGTTCTTTGACATTGTCTGTGATCTTTGTGTTTGTTGACATTGTCTGTGATCTTTCTGTTTGTTGAATTCGTGATCTTTCTGTTTGTTGACATTGTATGTGATCTTTCTATTTGCTGAAATTTTCTGTATTCTTTCTTTTTGTTGACATTGTCTGTAATCTTTTAGTTTGTTGACATTGTCTGTGATCTTTTTGTTTGTTGACATTGTGATCTTTCTGTTTGTTGATATTGTCTGTGATCTTTCTATTTGCTGAAATTGTCTGTGTTCTTTCTCTTTTTTGACATTGTCTGTAATCTTTTAGTTTGTTGACATTGTCTGTAATCTTTCTGTTTGTTGACATTGTGATCTTTCTGTTTGTTGACATTGTTTCTGATCTTTCTATTTGTTGACATTGTCTGTGATCTTTCTATTTGTTGACATTGTCTGTGATCTTTCTATTTGTTGACATTGTCTGTGATCTTTCTATTTGTTGACATTGTCTGTGATCTTTCTGTTCTGTGATTTTCAGTATATGGTCTGTATCTGGAACAGACATCTTGTCAGGGGCGTCGACTAAACCAAATTTGGGGGCTGGGTAAATATTTTTTGTTTGGGGGAGGGGTGGGGGGGATGCCAGGGGAGGGGTGCCCGGGGAGGGGTGCCAGGGGAAGGGTGCAGGGGAGGGGTGCCCGGGGAGGCGTGCTGGGGGAGGGGTGCAAGGGGGGAGGGCCTTAAGGGACCTATGCATTGTTTATGTAATAATAATAAAATAATAATAATAATTGAGGTTCATTCTGCAGATATCACCCGCCTCCATTCATCTGTATGGTGGGCCTTCTTTTTCTCAGCTGGTGTCGGGATATTATCTCTCCATCGTTGTTTTGGTCTGCCTCGTGGTCTACAACCATTCAGCTCCCTGGTGTTTCCAGTTTTTAATAACCATAATTTTCTGAATGGCAAATACAGTGTGTTAAAAATAATAAAATGGATAAACAAAAACTTTAAGAGAGCTTCAATGCATGGCTTGTGGGTTGGAAGGGGGAAGGTGGAAGAGAGGGGTGGCGTTGGAGCTCCTACTTTCGAGAGCTCTTCTCCTCGTTTGTGTCGTCTTTTTAAACAAAATTTTCAACTGCAAATATACCATCCTTGCTTAACAACATCTAACCGTAATAAAACATAATATATGTTTTACATTGTCTGTTGTCTGTCCATGCATATCTGTAATTTCAAAACATGTATTCAAAGAACTGTCTTTGTTTTTATCTACTGATGAAGACTTTCCAGCCGCAATGTCTATTCTGTCACTAATTACTGAGTTCCTGTAAAACCGTCCACTTTCCGTTTCTCTTGATGTCCTACTGACTTGTCTACCCCCCCCCCCCCCCCCCCCCGCCAATCACCCCACCCCCTTTTTTCCCCCACTGTTATAATGCATTTCCATTAATTACATACGTCATTCTTCTATAGTCCGACTTTTTTATAGAGAGTGAAATCTGATTTAGCATAACAGTGACTTGTGTTTGTTGTGTCTACAGTGGAGGACATTGAACGGAACGACGGAAGCCCTGAGAAGCCATACTTTATGGGGAAGGGGCTCATGAAGGTGCTCGGCAAATCGAACTTTAAGGTCAAAGGGAGCAAACCGTGAAATTGTTGTCATCAATCATGGATGACGCCGTTGGTCTATAAAAATATAGGTCTAGCCCTATATGCCCTATACGCCTAAAGGCGTGGAAAGGGTCCTTTACTTTTTATGGATGACAGGTTTATGTTACTTTGGCGAATATAAATAATCAATGCAACAGCTACGACAATGAAAATTCTGATCCAGACAATCCTTACAATTGTAAATGTGGCAGCGGATGACAGGTGTGGTGTGATAGGTAATGACAAGTGTGTGAGACTTTGTTGTGTGTGTGTGTGTGACACGTGTATAGATCTTTGGCAGTTTTGACCAGAAATGTTCTGTGTATGGCATAACTCATAAGAACCAAAACTCGGGGGGGGGGCTTAGCACACCACCCCACCCCCCTTTACCAAAATATAGTAGGATGATTTTTAGGGAGGCGAGGCGTGAGTCCCTAGTAGTTTTTTGTGAGTTAACACCCCACCCCATCCCTGCTAACTCCCACTACTACCATGTATCTTCTAATGCATTTGTTCATACATTAAAAAAAAAATTTCGAATATATTTATTTACCGTTCAGAACACAGTAATAATAATAATAATAATAATAATGGTTGCTGTGGCCTCCCTCTTCCCCTCCCCCCCCCCCCTTTTTCCTTCCCCTCCAGCCACCAATTTCATTTTCGTGGCAGCCCGTCTGAAACAACTGGTTCCTGTTTTGACAGGAAGTGGCTGTTGGTCAGTAGACCGTGACAAACACAATCTATTTATTTTAACATTACCAAGTTGCTGGCTGTAGTAATATTAGTCATATAGTTAACAGTTACTTACATATTTAGTAGCAGTTCACTGTAGTAATCAATAGCAGGTAAACATAAGTAACACGTTGATGAGTTTATAGGTAAAGCTTTTGTGATGGTCGGACCAGCAATGGACCAGGTTGATATACTTAATGTTTTACGAGAAATAAGATGTTTGCGAGAACCAAGTGATGACTGAACCGCAAACCACCAGGCTGATATACCCATTGTTCTACACAAAGTTAGATATTTGTGATGACTGAAATGCAGCAAACCTTGACCAGCCTGAAAATGGTGAGGCTAGAAAAGAGCACTGTGCATAAAGTGAAATAAGACGACTAAAGCAACAGAAGTAGTTCCGTCAGCCGTTACTCGTTGTTGGATTTACCGAGGAGAGGATGAGAGAACAAATGGATTGAGTGATTCGATGTTACATGGGGATTGTCTACTAATTAACTAACAGAGCTGCACTAATACGAGTCTCTTTTCGATTTTTAATTTAAAATGTAGACTACAAATTGTTAACAAAGCAGGTTGTGCAGAACGAGACGTTCTGTTGCGAAATCGCGTGCAGCTGGGATCGAAACCAGGACCCCGGCATTGCAAACCGCGTTCGCATCGCCTAAGCCACGGACGCCGACGAGACGGATATACGGTCAGATTATTACTGGTCTGCTGAAGATGGGGACGGAGCGCTCACTGGAATTCCCGAGTGCTGTGATGTCGATTCCTAATACAACATTAAATATTAAACAAATCAAACAAAAATTGTTACAAAAAATGTCTCATATACATGTAAATGTTCAGTTATTTGTAAAAATGTCCAGTCTCATTGACTGAAATATGATTCCAGATATTCGATGTATTTTTTATTTTTTTTATTATTGTTCCTTGTGCATCGAGAAACGCAATCTTGTAATTAAATCGATATTTGTTACATTTAACTCTGTCTTCTTTGTTTTTGTTTTTTCTTAAATAAATTGTCGTCTTATTTTTTTTTTTTTTTGTCGTCTCACTGATAACAAGTTGTAGCCCATCGTAGTGGTTTCCTGCATTTGTGTTGCGCGGATACTCTCTAATGTTCTGTACACTCTACTCTACCAGCAACTGAACATTTCGGTGATGGAGTCTGATTTGGGACTCCTAGCACTATCTCATACCCAAACAAAGAAGTTGCAACGCTTACAAAATAAACCAATGCAAGTCATCTTGGTGTGTGCATGAGACACGCAGACTGTATGCATGCGGCACATACTTGCACTAGCATCCGTGTGTGGGAAATACAAGGATATACGGGCGAAAACGGACCTTAAAGTCGCAACGGACAGGAAACACCTTCTGCTTGAGGCCTTAGGGTATAGCAAGGAAAAAAGGTTGGTTGCGTATCCTTTACAGGACGTTGCAGAATCAACCCCAGCAGCCCCTAGCCGTTGTGTGGTTTCTCTAGGCAAATTTACGACCAGTAGTTTGCCATTGCTCACTAGACGGTCGGCCCCCTGATACCACTGTCGAAACCAACGCAAGGCATAGCATGGAACAACGGCTAAAAAGAGGTGGCTCTTGGATGGCACAGGCAGAAGTCACGATCAGAACAGTTTGTGCTACTGACAAGATAGCGCCTGGTGTTTGCCGACTAGCAAACATATTTGCAGTCACTTTGGGCCGAGGGTGAAACAGGTGCAAGAGCTGATCAATGAAAACTCACGCCCAGGTGATATCATTATATATACCGACGAGTCTGTAGTGACAAGTAAGACCGGAGCCTCGTGTACAGCGTCACTACATCCTCCAGTATGAGAATGGAGGTGGAGGCAGTAACGGCAGCTTAACGATAGCTAGAGGGCAGCTCAGCCCGACATGTTGTGATTGTAGCATACAGACAGAACATGTTGTGATTGTAGTAGACAGCGAATGTTGTGATTGTAGTAGACAGAGCATGTTGTGATTGTAGCAGACTGACAGAGCATGTTGTGATTGTAGCAGACTGACAGAGCATGTTGTGATTGTAGCAGACTGACAGAGCATGCTGTAATTGTAGCAGACTGACAGAGCATGTTGTGATTGTAGCATACAGACAGAACATGTTGTGATTGTAGTAGACAGCGCATGTTGTGATTGTAGTAGACAGAGCATGTTGTAATTGTAGTAGACTGACAGAGCATGTTGTGATTGTAGCAGACTGACAGAGCATGTTGTGATTGTAGCAGACTGACAGAGCATGTTGTGATTGTAGCAGACTGACAGTGCATGTTGTAGCAGACTGACAGAGCATGCTGTAATTGTAGTAGACTGACAGAGCATGTTGTAGTAGACTGACAGAGCATGCTGTAATTGTAGCAGACTGACAGAGCATGCTGTAATTGTAGCAGACTTACAGAGCATGTTGTGGCAGACTGACAGAGCATGCTGTAATTGTAGCAGACTGACAGAGCATGTTGTGATTGTAGCAGACTGACAGAACATGTTGTGATTTTAGTAGACTGACAGAGCATGTTGTGACTGTAGTAGACTGACAGAGCATGTTGTGACTGTAGTAGACTGACAGAGCATGTTGTGATTGTAGTAGACTAACAGATCATGTTGTGATTGTAGTAGACTGACAGATCATGTTGTGACTGTAGTAGACTGACAGAGCATGTTGTAATTGTAGTAGACTGACAGTGCATGTTGTAGCAGACTGACAGAGCATGCTGTAATTGTAGTAGACTGACAGAGCATGTTGTAGCAGACTGACAGAGCATGCTGTAATTGTAGCAGACTGACAGAGCATGCTGTAATTGTAGCAGACTGACAGAGCATGTTGTGGCAGACTGACAGAGCATGCTGTAATTGTAGCAGACTGACAGAGCATGTTGTGATTGTAGCAGACTGACAGAGCATGTTGTGATTTTAGTAGACTGACAGAGCATGTTGTGACTGTAGTAGACTGACAGAGCATGTTGTGACTGTAGTAGACTGACAGAGCATGTTGTGATTGTAGTAGACTAACAGATCATGTTGTGATTGTAGTAGACTGACAGATCATGTTGTGACTGTAGTAGACTGACAGAGCATGTTGTGATTGTAGCTATCCATCTATCTATCTATCTATCTATCTATCTATCTATCTATCTATCTATCTATCTATCTATCTATCTATCTATCTATCTATCTATCTATCTATCTATCTATCTATCTATCTATCTATCTATCTATCTATCTGTCTATCTGTCTGTCTGTCTGTCTGTCTGTCTGTCTGTCTGTCTGTCTGTCTGTCTGTCTGTCTGTCTGTCTGTCTGTCTGTCTGTCTGTCTGTCTGTCTGTCTGTGTCTGTCTGTCTGTCTGTCTGTCTGTCTGTCTGTCTGTCTGTCTGTCTGTCTGTCTGTCTACTATCTATCTATCTATCTATCTATCTATCTATCTATCTATCTATCTATCTATCTATCTATCTATCTATCTATCTATCTATCTATCTATCTATCTATCTATCTATCTGTCTGTCTGTCTGTCTGTCTGTCTGTCTGTCTGTCTGTCTGTCTGTCTGTCTGTCTGTCTGTCTGTCTGTCTGTCTGTCTGTCTGTCTATATATCTGTCTGTCTATCTATATGTCTGTCTGTCTATATATCTGTCTGTCTATATATCTGTCTGTCTGTCTGTCATAACGTCAATTGTTTCTTTATAATCAGTTTCTGCATCCTCATATAACAGCATTCCTATTTTACCCAATGGTTTAGTTTTAGGGTTAATTCTTGTCGTACTGTTGGTTCAGTTTCAGCCCAACTGTTGCCATTCATCATTCCAATCCGCTGCACAGGAACGTTGATTCCCAATGAAAGCCAGCTACCTAATCTATGCACGACCTCCTGCAGCCTTTATAATTCTATGATCTATGTGAAGAAACTAGGCCGGGGAATTCCCTTATCCAAGTCCAGGTGACTATCGACCGGAAATGACCTTCTACGGTTCATCTAAACAACGAAACTAATGGTTTATTGCCACGGAACCGCCGGCCCATCTTATATTTGCTAGATTGTTATTTCACTTTCGTAATCAATTTTCCAAAGATTCTTTGCAGCTGCAGCACAGTGTGTTCTCTAACTAAATGCCAGAATGGTAAGTTAGATCATTTTAACTGTGAAGATTATCTTCAGGTGTGTTTGGAACTGATGGCGGCCGCTCGTTGAATGAATGAAGCCGAAGCAGACGCTACCCTGCAGCCGTCAGCAACTTATTTAGCATTCTCCTGAAACGTAAGGGTTTTATAGTTCGAAAATGAATTATTGCTTCATATGTATCTTCTTCATGGCGAAGATTCTGATACATTGTTGCTAGATAAGAAAACCACCAAAATCTCAGTCTCCATTTCCCATGTTTCATACACTTGACTCTCAATAGTAAACGGGCTTTCGTTGCAGATGTCCAAGGGGGAAAACTACCACTGTGAGAAATCACCACACTTACTTTTTCATTTCGAATAGTTGATTTTCATAGCAAAGGTGGTCACTGTGTAAGGAAGATTTCTTTACTTGTCTGCGGAAAAATTTGAACACCTAGAGAAGACATTATGCATTGTTTGGAGTTCATAGCACAGAGCCATTCCCACATCACACACTTCTTGTGATTAAAAGAGTTAGCTGTCCTCCTAATAACGGTCCTAAATTATCAAGGCCGAAAATACACCCTAACAGGGCCTCAGTCACATGCCCATTGTGGACTTCCGGTGACTACCAAAACCGCCGAGAGTATCTCCCACGCCCCGTGGAGCGGGGCTAATCTAAACGGCTAGGACTCACAAGCAAATAAAATGAAGGAAGCTGCAGGAGATTTGGTAGCTGCTGCTCATGAGTCCAGCCGTCTAGTTTAGCCCTGCTCCACGCCGCAGAACCAGCCAATCTATATGTCTGTTTATTTCCCAACACACCGGCACTCGAAGGAGATCCATCTGAAGGATGCTAACCACCAGAGACATCTGAAGCAATGCTTATCACTCGGCACAGAGCATACCTGTCTCCACCTTTCTCAACATGCTCTGTGAGTCAGTTACAATCACAACATTTTTGTATAGCTGGTTATGAAGCCAGCGGAAGGCTGCAGTGACTGCCTCCACCTCCATTCTCAAACTAGATGTGGCTGTATCATAAGCCTGTCTTTGTTGTCCTCTCCTTTTCCTCTCTTAATTGAAAAACCAGTCAGGGTGTGCAGGACCGAGAACATCGCATCTGTGGACAGCTACTGTCTCCTCAACAAGCATGTCGAAGGTTTCGACTAAATGGGGGCATCCTTTGAAGTCAAAGTATAACTGCCTGAGAGGCAAGCAACCAACAGTCTGTATTCTAATAAGCTAAGTCTGTAAAATTAATGTGCATGCCACACTCAGGTTCTGGAACATGACTGATGTCTGGAGGTGAGCCCACATCCAGAGCTTTCCACCGGAGTTTACAGCTGGTGAATGAGAAGAAGAAGAAGAAGAAGAAGAAATAGGAGACTCATTACAGTAGACTTGTTGAGATGTTATCACAATCAATGTCTTTGCACACTGGGCATCCCCATGCGTGCTCAGTCCTCCGATGTAGCAGCCACTCCAAAGTACCTCTGCTAATTGTTCCCATGAGGAATTGGTTATGATATCTCCTGTCTTTACTTCAAGGACCACATAGACATGCTTCACCAAGCTTAACACCTCGGTCACACAGTTGTGTTAGTGTCAGAGATTCGCCATTATCCCCCAACCTTGTCCGTGCAGTGTTGATAAAATCAGCTCTGCCCACGCTTCTTCCCTTCTGCATAGGTGCATTACTTGCCCGCTGGTCAGCTCTTTCATTACCATTTACTCCTGCGTGACCAGGAGTGTAGATCCAGATGAAGGAGGTTAACTGCAAATTCTGAATGCTTTCTACCCATTTGGAGCGTTTACTCCCTGTATCGATTTTCTAAAGCGTGTTCACAGTCTTAAACGATACCCGCATGTGTGGCCGCTTGTTCTGCTACCCATGCGAGTGCTCTGGAAGCAGCAGTTATCTCCATGGTCATGCTTGACGTAGTCATCTGCTAAGCACTGCTCTCCTCTTTTATTGTATTCCACATCTTTGTGCTGTGTATGCCCATGCCGATCTTGATCACTGACCCATCCGTGTAAATGACTACATCTTCTGGGCATAAATCAATCAGTGCCCTAGTTTTGGCGTTTGCAGTGGCAGGTATCTGACTCATGCCGTACCTTCCCAATATTATGACAACCTTATACAAGTCTACTGGTGTATCTCTCCATTCTTTTTCGGGACTGATCTAGATTAGATCACATACTTGCTTGATTAGATTTTTCTTCCTTGGCCGTCCAAGAGGAGCCTCTTTTCAGACGCATCCTTTTTTTTTTTTAAATCTTTGATAACATTGTGCAGGGGGTGGTTGATATCTGCTGATATCCTCATGTATACTTTCACCTGTGCCACTTTATGTGCTGAGATGTGGCCTTGAGGTCATGGCTGGTTACAGCACAAACTTGCTGAGATGTGGCCTTGAGGTCATGGCTGGTTACAGCACAGACTTGTTGAGATGTGGCCTTGAGGTCATGGCTGGTTACAGCACAGACTTGTTGAGATGTGGCCTTGAGGTCATGGCTGGTTACAGCACAGACTTGTTGAGATGTGGCCTTGAGGTCATGACTGGTTACAGCACAGACTTGCTGAGATGTGGCCTTGAGGTCATGGCTGGTTACAGCACAGACTTGTTGAGATGTGGCCTTGAGGTCATGGCTGGTTACAGCACAGACTTGTTGAGATGTGGCCTTGAGGTCATGACTGGTTACAGCACAGACTTGCTGAGATGTGGCCTTGAGGTCATGGCTGGTTACAGCACAGACTTGCTGAGGTGTGGCCTTGAGGTCATGGCTGGTTACAGCACAGACTTGCTGAGATGTGGGCCTTGAGGTCATGACTGTTTACAGCACAGACTTGCTGAGATGTGGGCCTTGAGGTCATGACTGTTTACAGCACAGACTTGCTGAGATGTGGGCCTTGAGGTCATGACTGTTTACAGCACAGACTTGCTGAGATGTGGGCCTTGAGGTCATGACTGTTTACAGCACAGACTTGCTGAGGTGTGGTCTTAGGTCATGACTGGTTACAGAACAGACTTGCTGAGATGTGACCTTGAGGTAATGACTGGTTACAGCACAGACTTGCTGAGATGTGGGTCTTGAGGTCATGACTGTTTACAGCACAGACTTGCTGAGGTGTGACCTTAGGTCATGACTGGTTACAGCACAGACTTGCTGAGATGTGGCCTTAGGTCATGACTGGTTACAGCTCAGACTTGCTGAGATGTGAACATGAGGTCATGACTGGTTACAGCGCAGACTTGCTGAGATTTGGCCTTAGGTCATGACTGGTTACAGCGCAGACTTGCTGAGATGTGAACTTGAGGTCATGACTGATTACAGCGCAGACTTGCTGAGATGTGGCCTTAGGTCATGACTGGTTACAGCACAGACTTGCTGAGATGTGGGCCTTGAGGTCATGACTGTTTACAGCACAGACTTGCTGAGGTGTGGCCTTAGGTCATGACTGGTTACAGCACAGACTTGCTGAGATGTGACCTTGAGGTAATGACTGGTTACAGCACAGACTTGCTGGGATGTGGGCCTTAGGTCATGACTGGTTACAGCACAGACTTGCTGAGATATGGGCCTTGAGGTCATGACTGGTTACAGCACAGTCTTGCTGAGATGTGGGCTTTAGGTCATGACTGGTTACAGCACAGACTTGCTGAGATGTGGGCCTTGAGGTCATGACTGGTTACAGCACAGACTTGCTGAGATGTGGCCTTAGGTCATGACTGGTTACAGCGCAGACTTGCTGGGATGTGGGCCTTAGGTCATGACTGGTTACAGCACAGACTTGCTGAGATGTGGGCCTTGAGGCCATGACTGGTTACAGCACAGACTTGCTGAGATGTGGCCTTAGGTCATGACTGGTTACATCACAGACTTGCTGAGATGTGAACTTGAGGTCATGACTGGTTACAGTGCAGACTTGCTGAGATGTTACCATAAGGCCACTCATGACAGTGCAGACTTGCTGAGATGTTACCATAAGGCCACTCATGACAGAGCAGACTTGCTGAGACGTGGCCTCTCAGTGGTAGTGTTTCCTCTACATGTAGTTATTCCAACCCATTGACTAGAAGGGCTTTTTGTTGTTAAAGTTTGTATGCTGATATTTCATTTGATGCTTGGGTAATTTATTCTCTGTATCTCATCTTGATCCTCTGACACCTTGCTGTGTCAAGGTGAGGAAAAGTGCCAGTTTGCACATTTTGTAAATGGGTGTTCCAAGGGACTGTTTTTCCCTCTGTCCATCGTTTGCACTGTCAGCTTCTTCATTACTTCCATTAATGTAATTAATTCTCTAGATGTCATCATGAATTGTAATTTGACACTTAATGTCATTTATTCTGTACATGTCATGATGATTTGTTATTTGACACCTAATGTCATTTATTCTGTGCATGTCATCATGATTTGTTTTTTGAAACTTAATGTCATTTATTCTATAATGTCATTATGATTTGTTGTTTTTTGACACTTGATGTCATTTATTCTGTAGATGCCATCATGATTTGTTGTCATTTGACACTTAATGTCATTTATTCTGAAGATGTCATCATGATTTGTTGTTATTTGACACTAAATGTTATTTATTCTCTAGATGTCATCATGAAGGAAGGATTTGTCTGAGCAAGTATTGGTGTTGGAGCTATGTCTGAGGATCATAGCATCAGTGTTTTCATCCGCATCCTAACAACTGTCACTACAGCTGTAACATCCGTCGGAAGCTTTCTCGCCAGTTATATCAGTTTAATCTGGCAGGGGTTCGGTTTTGTATTTTCGCTGATAGCTTCCTGTCCTGCATATTGTGTAGAATGCATAGAAAATGCCTGCTCTCGGGGAATCAGTTATATTTCTGGTTTAATTGCTTCCCTTTCAACAGAGACATATTTAGGAGTTGTAGGCCTTTGTTTAATATATTTTACAGTATCAAATATATTTAGATATGTGTATGGCAAAAGACCACATTTATTTCCTTTTAACTTTGGTAGTCGACAGTTACAAGGGAGGACAAGCAGTTGGCAAGTTGACAGAGGTTTTGAAAGTGATTTTGAATATTTGAATCTGTCAGATACAGAGGACGCATTGTGGCCGAACTCTACAACTGTTGATAGTAATGATGATAATGAATCAGATGATGACACTGATGATAATGTAAATGATCGAAGCTCTGATGTCACAGACGATGTCTCTGACAACACAGACTCTGACGAGTACACGGTTGTGATGGAAGAGTCTGACAGCGAGGGTTCAATAACTTCGCAGACGTATTCCACTGAATCCAGCGATCACGAGATTGAAATCCAGTTACCTCCGGTTGATAGTCACTACACTTTACTACACAGATCTTCTACCCCATCTCTTGTGTCAAAAAATATCAACAGTCCAGAAGATTTTCACCGAGAGATGGAAAGAGAACAAGACAAAAGAAAGTGCGTCGTCTGCCAGAATCTCATCAAATCTGTACTAATTCTCCCGTGCAGGCACTTGTGTCTGTGTGTTCTGTGTGCCAATCAGATTGTTTCATCAGGAACCAGGGCGAGACGAGTGTGTCCTTTATGTCGGTCCAGGATTACTAAAGTGATGAATATTTATGTGTGATAATTGCAGTTTTAGCATTTAAATATTATATGGTAGGTAAAGACAGTTCAGGGGAGATAACCAAAGAAATGTGTATACCCTACTGATATTGTGTGCAAACAGACGGCTTATGGAGACAAACAGATCTTGTTTAGGTGGGAGAGACAGAAAACCCAGGACTGCTGATTTTTTTTTTTTTTTTACAACAGGGAGACATGCTGAGGCTGGTACTTTTGCCAAAAAGCAAATGCAGAACTAGGGAAGATAATTATTCACATCTAGGTTTGTTCCATACAAGTCCAAAAATTTGACCTTTTTCAAAATTTCTTCATGGATTTTGCAAATTTAAAGGCATTATTTTGTTCACATGTTTTTTAAAATATTTTTTATGAGAAGTAATCGCTGAATAAAAATGGAACAAAGTCTTAGTCTTTGACTGAGAAAGAGGTTTTACCGACAGCCACAGAGAGCAGTGTGACTATCCAAACTTGAATTATGTCCTCCCAGTGATCAAACAATAGATTTGTTCCTGCCCTCAAATAATATGCTGGGGGGGGGGTGGGGGGGGGGCGGATAAATATATTTATACCAACCACGTCTGAACACTCTGCAGTTGCAGCCAGTACCAAAGCAGACATATCGGCCACTATCCAAAGACATCATGTCATAAAAAACCAGCTTTATTAGGGAGATATGCTGAAGACAAAAAAGATAAGAAAGATCAGTGGGCCTCACTTACAACAGAATAAAAAGCGTAGAAGTGGAAGTCACATGCTGACATGTGTATAAAATATATGTAATTTGTAAGGTCTTGATGGTATCATCACTAAATACTCAACATCGGTATCATAATTGTGCTATATGGGTTGATCTCAGCTAATGCACCACCATCAAGTGCAAGAAAAGAATGGTGCGTCTCCAGAATTATAAAATGTTTTCATCATCATCATCATTTAGTCATCCCTGGCATGTAGACCTGTGGGTCCTAGGCTGTCTATTACTGTCTCCTCAAACCTTCCTGTAGAACTGTGGTCTCCACCTGGGAGATGGGAGGGGCACCAGAAAATAGGGGGGGGGGGGCAAGCAGTTTTTTTTTCTTTCTTCTTCTGCGTTCATTATCAGCCATGCTGAGTCACAGATGGGGTTGTGGGTCTAAGGTCGAGGCGGTTCCCCATAGCTTCTCTTGTAATGTAGTTTTCTTGGGCCAGATCCACATTCTTTGCTGGAAGTAATTGAGGCAGTCCTGCAGTATGAGCTCAGGAGTCACCGCAGACCAGTTCTGCTTCCTTGGAAAGTAAGCCAATGTTGGTCCTTAGATCTGCAATTAGTTTGTCTTGTTTTTTGCTTGATAGTGCTTTGAGAACAGACAATGAGTCACTAAGTATAACAATTGTGTGCCCTCTGTGTTCTTGAGTGATGAGATGTTGGACTGCAGAAAGGAGGGCAGTTGCCTCAGCTCTGAAGTTAGTGCAGATGTCACCTGCTGGTAGAGAGAGAGTTTCTGCTCCACTGTTAGGGTGTTTAATGTATATTCCACAGCCCCTCTTTCTGACTGCATCTGTAGCAGAGCCGTCGGTGAAAACCTGAGTCCAAGTGGTGTTGGGATACTTCTCGTCAAGCATAGCAAGAGCCAGGGTTCTCTGTTGTGTCTCCGTCTGGGCATCTTTTGAAGTGATTCCCTGGTACCTTTAGGACTACATTTGCCTTTTCTGGCATGCTTGTACATGGTTCTGGCCTAAGCTTTTTGCACAGTGCATCATCTCTTTCAAGCAGATCCAAATGCTGTCTGTACAGTCCTCTAGCAAGGTGGTAGGGGCTCTGACACTTTTTACTCTTCCTTGAAATTTAAAATGCAGTGGGTGACTGTAGTCTTGTTTAGTTTCTCATACTGTAGAAGAGTTTTTTATTGTCTTCTGAGTTCAAGAGGTTCAGTAAAGCAGTTTTGAAACTAAGTGCATTTGTACTTGCAGTACAGATTTTCAGGTTTAACAGTTAAAATAGTGCTGCTAGCTTGATGTTGAGAGTGATATCATTGTGCTTTTTCCAACACCAGACAACAAATAGCAGATATCATCATGGCAAAATAGTGTCAAACATCACACTAATATATGGGCACTAAATTACCAGTTGGTGATTGTTTCTGTTATTTGACACTTTTCTCCAAGTTTTTTGTCAACAGTACCGATGGGGGGGGGGGGGGGGGGCCCCACCTGATAAATGTTGGAGACCACTACATCCACATTTGTCTCCCCCCCCCCCCTCCCCTCCCTAATCCGCATGTATTAGTACCTTACACTCACTTGAAATCTTGTGCATTCAACATCAGCCACACTAAACATCCAGTCTTGTCTGAGTCTCATCAGGACTGTGCACTCATGGTTGCCACTAGTCATTGATGCCTTGTCTCTCAGTGCAGGGTCAGATGCCCAGTCTCTGCCCAAGTAGGGCAGTACTGCAGCACATATTCAGGAGTCTTGTCTGTCTAATCCGCAGTCACAGATGGCACATTCTTGTATGCAGTTCTGTGTAAGCATGCTGTTAAATGTTGAGCCTTTCTTGGGGGAATATATTTCACTGACCCTGTTTATGCACCACTGTTCACACTGTTCTCTGTTTGATGTTTATCAACTTTTTCAGTCCCAATCAACGCACATTTTTATGATCAGTGTGTATCAGACAACGAATGGTGTGTAATTATATATATTTACATATGGTTTGAGCATGTTAAAGAAATCTGGCTAGATATGCTAACATACAGCACAGTAAATGGTGTCTCTTTGACAGGGACACACTCCTGATCATGTTGTGTTTATTATAAAAAAAGTAAATTCGGGAGATGTGAACCAGCATCATTGCACACGGTTATACACCATAAGTGCTCTGTCGCCAGTACAGACAGCTGATAAAAAAACTGTCCGCCTATGTCGCCGTCCGCACGTAACTCCGTAGCTACAGCGACGTTCCTCCATTTACCCCAGAGTGTCAACTTTGGTACCCATTTCCTAGAGGCTGGTTGAACCCCAGGAATCGCCCGATTTTGAACATGGCCCCCATATGTTTTTATTATATTATCTCCTGAAGTATTTGACACGAAATCTTTTGGACAGTATTGTTAGAAACCTTTTTCTTGCAAGGGCCATGTGGATATTTCTAACATCATTCGCAAGCCACACAGATTTGTCCAGTAAAACATTCGCCTGTTGTATTTGATCACACTTCTTTGGCTGCCAGGTCGTCCTGGCCACAGATGGGTACCAGCGTTTGTCCTGGGGAAATAAAGGCGGCCTACATGGCGCTGACCACATTATCCCTCCATCGCTGATCAGTCTGTACAAATGGTAGTCTAGCAACAGTTTGAGGAATGGCTGCCAGACTCACAACACTGGGTTTTCATGTAGGAGACCCAGGTTCGAATCATTGGTAAGATCAAGAATTTTTTTTTTCAAAGAAATTCAAACCTGCACAGTCCTTGATGACAGCAGTAACCATGCTAGCTAAGTTTATATTTTTTTTACAACTGATCAAAGTTAACCAGGACCGGCTTAGAAAACCAGACCAAATATGTCTGCACATAATGTCAGAGATCTGGATATTTCCTACTTTTCGTCTATGCTGCTTTGCAGGTCACATGATGCTGATGATCACACAAATGGTGCCATATTTTTTATTTCACATGTAAATTAGCATATTTCACTGATTGAACACTTGGTCCCATGCAAAGAAGGTTCACAAGTCAAAAGTGTATTTATTTGTGCGTGCATATTCTGTTTGTGAACACATGAGTTTCACTGGTCACCCTTGCTTCCTTCTCTTGTAGTCATTAACACATTTTGTATATCACTTATAACCATATATGTACTTTTATCATAGATGTTTTACGTACAGTAGCATTGATGTGGAAAAAGTATATACCCATATTATTTATAATATATGATGTAACCTACTTATTATGTAAAACAGGGAGTGGCACTATATTTATGTCTCATTTATGATTGTATGTATCTACTCCCTTGACTTGTATTCCCAGGTTAAAACCCAATGTTCTGGGATTTTTTTTAAAAAAGCCAGGTTTTCAATGTTCATAAGTGGACAAGGAAAGAATCACCAAGTCTCTGCCATATCAGAAGCAAAACTCAACACCTGTTTCACCCTAATAGAAACAGGATGTCTCTCTTATCACGGTCTGCCTGAAAGAAACTCCACATGTACTTTCCTATTCAAGGAGTTATCTATAACCTGTGTCCATCTTTATATTGGTTGGGCCCTGTCTGTCCTTCCTGGTGCCATTCATGTCTTCTGGTATTACTTTTGTCCAGTCCGTCACGGCGCTTGGTATTACCAAAATATTTCAGCTTTCTGTCTATTAACCAATCTTCCTTAATGATGAGTTGAGTCAAGAATTGACATCACATTATTCGGGGCATTCCCATGCATGCTTCGTCTTCATCTTCAGCAGCCAATGCAGAGTTCCAATACTGATGGTACCGGTCACAATCTAGTTAAAAGTCCATCTTGCCCTTCCTCTGAGTGTAGTGAGCCGGTCAGAGCCTCTGTTTACACCCAGGTGCCTCATTCTCTCCAGGCCATAATAATCTTGTTTCTCTACTGATTCCGTTGCTTGTTCCCAAAGGGCCTTGACCACATCTGCCTTGTCATGTATCAATTTACCACCAAGTGGTGCGGATCCAACCAATCTGTCTGCCTGTTCATTACCCACCACGCCGGCATAGCCTGGAGAAAAGATCCAAAGTATGCTCACCACCCATGACCTTTCCAGTGAAGCTTGCCACTCTGCTCGAAGCATCCCTGTCTTCACCTTTTTCAGCATGCTTTCACAGTCTGTTTTAATTACGACATGTGTATGCATCTTGTTCTCTAGCCACCGGAGAGCTCCAGTTACCGCCTCCACCTCCATTCTCATGCTAGATCTTGTGGTGTCATATGTTAGGCTAGCTTGCACTAAAGATGTTCCATTGGTTCGCTACGAACCCCCAGGCACTTCTCTTTCTTCTCAACACTGA